ATGTTCCAGCCCCCCCCCCCATTGAAAAATTCCTGGCTACGCCACTGAGCTAACCTAACCATGAACGATGGTGGAAATGATCCCGTCTCCGCCCTTTACTAGCAAAGCCAATCCTTCAAATCTCAGAATTATTATCACGGTTATTTCAAACCTTAGGCTACGAATGAGCCATGGGACCGAGAAGAGTATACAACAATATTCACAATAAGCCATTGGCGAGTTAAATTTGAATAAAATCGTGAATGCTTTGCATTCCCGACCAAACAGACTGTTACTATATCACGTGATTCGTGGCAAGCCTTGTGCTAGCAACCCCTCTGGCATGGTCTGGTGTCTTTGTGCCTTGTGTTGAGAAACCACATTTTTGATTGATACTTACAAGTAAAGTAACATACAATGTAAGTCTAATTCTTGGAACAAATCACGTAGTGACTCACGGTGTATTTTTTGATTCGAGAAAATGAGTTTTTAAATTTTTGACAAAGACAGATAATGAAGGTAACAATTTAAGAAAATCATCTAAACTATTCCAGTACAAAGTGCCTCGGTGAATAACACTATTTTTTGACATTGACGTTCTGTTAAATTGGACAAACTAAAGCCTGATTTGAAATTCAGAAATCAGAATAAGCCTTTTCGGAGTTCCAACTGCGCGCATTCGTAACCTGTGACAACGCACATTATTTGTCTCAAATGCCCTTTGACAGTACCCACAATGCACAAACAGCCTTTTTGTAAAGTCAGTGGCGCGATGTTGTCAAAGGCCATTGGAGACAAATAATGTGCGTTGTCACAGGTTACGAATGCGCAGTTGGAACTCCGAAAAGGCTGATTGAAGTAGATACTGTGTTGATGTTTATAGCTTTGTGGGATATTTTGCGTCTCATTAAGATCGTCCTGATGTCATACGATTATATCCGACTTGATATTTCTCATGATTATATTCTTCCAAGGTGGCTAAAAACTAATGTCAACTGTTCTTGTTTCCCCCTCTTGGTTTTAAGACGTCTGAATAATTGTCATTACTTTATTTAACCGTATACAAGTGTTTAATTAAAATTACTCAACCTTTGCAAACTTGTCAACCCGGCCGGCTGGAGCCGGCTGTTTAATCGTGTGGAGTATGTCATGAACCCTTACCCACCTCAATCCTCCTAAATCCTCATTGCGGTTTTTAAAGGATTTATGAAGATTGAGGATGAATGAGGTTTGAGAAACAGTCATGAGGATTTCATAGGATTGAGAATGAATCGGCTGTTGAAACACATAGGGATGAGGATGAGGATTTCGGAGAATTGACGATGAGTGCATTTTCTGAGGCAGGACTGTCTTGACGATTTTGAAGGATTGAGGCACTTTGTATCCTTCATAGGGTAAATCAGGGGATCACAATGAAGGAACAATTTCAAACAGTATCCGGGATTACTGTTCAAAGCTTAAAATGTTTCGAGGAATTTGGGATATACAAGCGGTGGGGGAAAGATTTCCATATAAGAAGTTCACTAATTTTCCTCTGTATTGACTATCAAGCCCCCAGATAGCAATTTCATGTCATCAAAGTCAATTTGAGCAGTGATAAAAAACAAGCATTTTCTTAGAAAACACTTAGAATTTTTCAGTCCACTCTCCTTGGGTTTGTACACAGGGTGTTGAATGAACTTCTTATATGGAAATCTTTCCGCGGTGGGGTGTGTCCTCCTGTTCATGGAACACTAGGTGGCGCTATTTAGGAAAGACGTTTTGCAAAACAAGTTGTAAACTTTACATATCCGCGCCTTACATTGCCTCAGTTTGGGGTAAATGCTGACGAAAATTGTTCAAGGGGAAACAGTACATTGTACGAGGCTATTTTGATGGGAGATACGCGGGGAGCGGCTGGATTCTAAATGCATACCTTGCTAGTATAGACTTTTTCTTTCGTTTACAAAGTTAAGCGCCACGTGCTGGCAGCCATTCAAGACCGCAGTTGACAAGGTCCTAAGAAATATCACGCCCTTGATCTGTTCTGGTATGCCCCGTGCAATTTTCGACTTTCATCCTGTAAAATGGATTCCTTTTCTAAATTGTTATTTTCCTAGCGATAGAAAATGTTCACTTATGATTGAGTATAGTCTTGTGTCATGACATTGTTGTATATTGGATAGTACGCCATCACCTGCCACAAGAGGGCGTTATCACAACGAACCCGAGAACCGCTATCACAACGAGGTTTGGATATGGTCCAACATAGCCCGGTTGCGGTGTTTTTATCAGCAGCACACATTCAATGGGTCATGATTATTCAGCTAGTTCGATGTTTATTCATAAGAAAATAACAACGATCTCCATTTCATAATAAAACACAGGCATAAAGTACATGTTATTGACTAGAAACTGTGGAAATTACACGTTGTTTGCATACTTTAATAATCCCCAGTTACGTCTATTTTAATATAAAGATCTCAAAATTCAGCTGTCCACCACTGCTCATTTACCATGAATACCCATTTAATACAATGAAACATGGACGTTTTCTCATCTGCGATGAATGGAGGAGAACTTACAAAGGAGAACATACCTAAACCGCAATTAATATTTCAGAAAAGAGAGTGGACTAGTTCCTCATATTCAAAACACAAATCTCTGGCAGTTCATGTTTGAGTCTTTATTGAAAAAAATAATGATCAACATCTCCTGACGACGGGCAGAGCATACTGTTTGAAACGTTGAGTCCCTCCGGTTCTTTTCAGAACCACACATACTCACAAAAAAAAAATTATTCACACGGTACTGCCGCAAACTTATCTTGTCTTAACATCTCATTTGTATTTGAGTGCTTGTGTGTAATCTGTAATTCCCACTCGGCTCTTCCAATGGCATACCGGGGACAGCTATAAAAAAAAATGGTTTTTTTTAGTAAAACGTGCATACCTCGTGATAGCATGGATCAATTTCAGTAATTGGTTTTTTTTTTTTTTTTGACGAGGGAAAGATCATGCTCATTTAAGATAATACTTCTTTGATCAAATTTGATTGCTTTTTAAGAAGAAAAAATGTTCTCTTTGCATTTCCTTAATTTGCCGCGCTGATATTTCAATTCAATGTGCGGTGGCGATTATAATTTTTAATCGAAGTGCAATAGTATCACATATTCTGTATCATTTCCTTTTTAGGGTTCTATATTTATATATTAATTCTTAACATAAGTTGAGTTTACTCATTATTTATAATTTAATGTTAAAATGTTAACTTAATTTGTATCGTTTGTCTTTAAATTTGCATTATACCAATTTTCAGTGGCTATCCGTCTGTTGAAGATTATGTTCACATCTAAGGCCCCCCCCCCAAAAAAAAAAAAACTCGGTCTCTGGTCAGACCAAAGTTCCGGAATTGATGCGGCGACGCGGCTTTTTTTTTTTTTTGGGGGTTTTTTTTTTTCAAGCTTGGATTGTACATACAAGATGGGGTACTATTTTGCTTTTTTTGGTGTCTTCATGTACATTGGTGTCCTGCATAATACGCCTTAGTGCCCTCAATCATTTGCCTTGGTGCAATTTCCCATTCCTTGGTGCTCTTTGGTAAAAAAAAAATTAGAAGGTGCGGCAATAGATGGCGCTGTTGGAGCTACCGCAGAACATTTTGGGGAAAAAAAAGATTGACGCGCATGGCTAAAATCGACGCGCGCGCTGACCAGAGACCAACTATTTTTTGGGGGGCCTAATCTTAACCCTCTTAGTTTTAGTTTTGTCATAATTCTTCCTCTAAAACAAAAAGACAATGCTAAATAGAAAGTCAATACTAAAGAGAATGAATAAGAAATCAAAATTGGCAAAAAGAAACTTACCCAATCAATACGTCTGAGAAGACATTCCAGAGCAAAATATTTTCCAAAACGAAGTTATTTCCTGTGTTGAGTGAGATGGTAATATTCTGACGTGAACTCCATGTAAAAATGCACAAAAGAGTTGCTTGCCAAACTTCCATGTGGTTCGTGTTGGGGCTTCTCAATTCCCAGCGATCTAGTTTTCGTAATCCAGTATTATCCCATAGCTGTGACATAAATGGTGGCATGTGTGGCCAGTGCGTAAAGCGTTCGCCTCTCTGTTCGTTCCCAGCTAGGACCGTATTGTTTTTCTCCGGGTCCTCCGTTTTTCCTCCCTCTGCAAGAATCAAACACTTCCGAGCTCTGGCTGTGCTCCGTGGTCAGACATGTGTCGTGTGGTGGCTGCCTGACTAAGCTATAGCTTAGCTTCGAGTAGGGATGATTAGCCTCCCAAATTATTAAAAGTATACAATCCATTTGGAACGGAGAGAGAGAGTGTTCACGCCATTGATTGTGAATGTGTGTGACTCCATGTATTTCTAGGACATGCACTGCGCATCGCGTGATGATGAATGGAACAAAAGGTGTGCACCCATCCGAAGGGTTAACAATGGATTTTATCGCGATATATGCAAGCGCAGGGCCTGGCAAAGTTGTATATACAAGAGTGTATCAAAAACAAATGCAAACAAAATCGGAATGACAGACGTAGAATGTTTAACCAACATAAATAATACAGGTATGGTTTGAAAGAGACGCCCTTCCACTGTAAAATGAGACATCAAACGTCCAAATCTGATAATTTTTGACAGAGTTACGGGTAATTTTCCAAGAGAGGTCAAATTGACCATGGGTCCAAGTTTTCAAATTGGGATGAATTAAGGTAGCCTAGTTGCCTCTGTGTGGATATTTGCCGGGCCTACTAAAAAAATTATTTAGCGAGTAAACACAATTCTAAACACTTTCCTGCTATCACGCCATGCTAAAAATGTAAACATGTTTACAAATTGACGTCATCAGTATACAGAGGCTAAACGGTCAAAATACATGTGGACACATGTACATCCATTGTGATGGCAGCTCACATTGACGGCACCGCTACCACAAAGGGAAAACTAAATCAGTCTTCGTGAAATAGTTTCAGTTCTATTGTGTTGCAGTTCAGTTCTATTTCAGGTGTGTTTCCGTCACCGTCACGGGATCGTTGATGGTATTGGGCGTACTATTGTGCACGCGCAAAGGGGCCATCAGGCATGACGTCTGGCGAATTGAGTGTTGAACCTGGATATTAATGCAGACATGCAACAGGGCCAGTTTAGTGTGGTGGATATAACGCATCTAAAGATTAGTCCAACATAGTCTACTTTTATCTAGTTTGCAGATCTAAAGTTCAGGCTCAGCTATACTTTCTTTTTGCAAAACGAATGGAAAATAGCGCCTGGCTGTTTGCGTTTGTGTTCAATCAGACAGCAAGCCTACACATTACGCCAACAAAATTCATTCCTTGCAACCGTTCGTCGGGACTTTCGATGTGTAACATCAAGGTGAGTTACTGATTGCATGCAACGTTTACGAACGTAGAGGAATGTCGCAATCTGCCGTAAGATTTCATCATTATTTAGGGGCATTTTTTATAAAAGAAAACTGCTATCGTGGCAGGTCCAAGTTTAAGTTGCAAATGTTAATGGTGTATTTAATAGGATCGAGTAGCTACCCTCAGAAAAGGAAAATCATTTTAGTTTTAGCTTAGATGTCCCCTTCCCAATCTTGGTAGGTGTCTCCATGTTAGTTTATGTTAGCCCACAAGTCCCCCACCATAACCGCCACATTGTCAAGCCACAGTTTAGTTCAGCTATAGCTAGCAGACCAGCCGAGGAAAGTTCGCAGTTTTTGCTCTTTTTTTAAATTCTAGGGATTGGTTGAAAGTTCCTAGTTGTAGGTCATCTTGTGCTTTCTTATTTCTGAGTTTAGTCCTTGTGTTGATCTGATTTAGTAACTTTAGGTATAAAAGTTTTGAAGTTTTTGTAATTAATTCCTTTGTTTTATTGGAATGTAGAATCTATGTCTGTGTCTCTATTAATTCAATTTCCTTTCAAAGATCCTGAGATTAGTTGAGTTTGATAGTGGAGTTTCCCTATTGTGTGTCTTTTTTCCCAGGTAACACCGTCATGAGAAAACTCATGACTCAATGAGAAAAGAGCGCAATCATAAACCCTTTAAAGTATGATTACTTTTGGGCAGCTTGTTTTTATGTCTGACTGGGATTATAAACATATTTTACATAACCTCTTTGACGTACCTTATCTATTTTTAAGAGTAAGGTTTTCAATTACTTTATATTTGTGATTTTTCCCTAGGAAGTTATTTACTCATTAATTACACTTCAGCGGCATGAAGTGCGGCATTGGGTCTCTGTGGCTTGGTTTTTTTTCCGTTCTAGTTTAGGACGCCTTGTGACCTAGTTGGGAAATCCACTGATTGCGCAAGATTAAAAAATAATTGCGGGTTTTCCCGTTTTGAAATCAACTGTTGCAGAAGTATTATATGAGCTTTTGTGAAGGGAGGGCTCTTTGTTACCTCAAGTATGCGCTGCTTGCACTTTTCATGCTGATGACCTTTTAGGCCAAACAAAATAAGTCTCCGGTTTCTGGTATGGAGCTTGCCCAAAAAGTGGTGCGGCGACGCGGCTTTTTTTTTACCTGTTTTTTTTTTTGCTTCAAATGTCGGCTGATGACTGCAAATGGTGCCCGACTAAACTTCATGCAAATATATGGGAGTCCAGAGAGGCCACATAAAGCTTTTTCTCGATCGTGACCCCATCTAAAAACACGTTAAAATTGTGCAGCAGCAGGATTCCAGTCAAACCAGTGAGTTTTGCGGTTTGCGACATCATCTTTCATTGAAAAAAAACCTTTTTCATTTTGCCGACGCGCATGGCTACGGCGACGCGCGCGCATACCAGAAACCGGAGACTTTTTCTCTTTGGCCTTAACACTCACTCAAGCGCATCGATCGCAGCGCAACAAGTCAAAAGGTAGCCTCGGAAATTGAAATGCCTCTCCAACCCAATGTACGTGCAGGTTATCCTGCGTATTGTATTCAAATTTAATCCACACCTCAATGCGTGCTAGATCGCCTGATAAATCTAGAGTGTTTTCCACGCTGCGGCTGGGAAAGCTACTTGGGCACGAATTTGTTTTCCAGTCCTTCGAATTAGCTATACACGGCCGTCAAAAGATGCACATATCGAGTCACGGGCGCGCTTAACATTAATTTAGTGCGAACAATTTCAGTCATTTAATGTCAAATGATTTTTAGAAAGTAAACAAGAAATAGAAGCCTTTACATTGCGACAGATAGTTCAGTTCAAACGTCTTTTTATCAGTTTTTTAATTTCTTTTTCATTGATCTTAAGCATTTGTGGCACCTGGAATAGAAGCCAAAAAGTGAGAAGCTACCATGGCCAAAAGACCTGTTAAGATGGAAATGATGCCACGCAACTCTGCACGGGAGTTGCATGGGCCAGGTAAAGAAACATACATTTTTATGAACACACAATAAAGGCTACAGTGTGTATCGCAATAATGCAAACAAATATAACGGAATGCCAGATATAGAATATGTAACCGACATAGATAATCTGGGTATGGTTTGAAAGATGCGCCTTTCCACTTTAAAATGAGACATCGAACATCCAAATCTGATAATTGTTGAGAGAGTTATGATTAATTTTCCAAGAGAGGTCAAATTGATCATGGGGCCAAGTTTTCAATTTTAGGAATTGGAACAAAGGTAGACTAATTGCCTCTGTGTGGATAATTGCTTGGCCTGCAAAAAAATGTGTTAAGCGAGTAAATTAAACACAATTCTTAACACTTTCTTGCTATCAGTTTGTAAACATATTTGCATGCTAAAATTTTTAGCATGAAGGGATAGCAAGAAAGTGTTTAGAATTGTGTTTACTCGCCAAACACTTTTTTTGTTCGGTTGCTGCCCATTTTTTTTCTTATGGAAACAGGAAGTACAATAATTTGAAACGTATGACATGAACAAAGAGTGACATGCATGCATGGTAATACCTGTAGTTATGTTGGAATTCACATTTTAGGTTCTTTTGAAAGTTAATTCAACAACAGACTAAAATAATCTACGTCTTTTTCAAATAGTGTTCCTGCCAATTGCTGCTGTTTGTCAGTCTTCACCAGGATTTACACAGAATGAAATTAGTCACTGAAATAGGATTTAAATTAAAAAAAGAAAGATATGTAGCTCTTGATACTTGTTTTAATAGAAACCCCAGTCTCGCGCGACACTGCATTTTTTTTAAATGAAATTAAAATAGCTGTAACACTGAGGTTTCTGCCTAAATCACATCAAACTTTTGCTCATGAATATTTAAATTTTCATTAGCATAAAAAAACAAGTAGACACCAAAATACCATTGAAAATTAGGAAACGAAAATTGAAAATATGGTGTAATGGGAAAAACGTGTATTTCAAAATTGCATTGTAATATTTCACTGCACGGGCCCTTTAAAATTTGAGAGACATGTGTAGACATGACTTGTGTAGACATCTGAAAAAGGAGGTCGTGGGTTCGAGTCCCACCAGAGCAAGCTTCGGACTTTTTTCCAGCAAGCTATCGCACATTACTTAGTGGTAAACCCCAATGATTATGGATTATATCTTGAATAATAGCGCGCGTGGGGTATATGCTCGGAATATCTCGGGTCCAAGTGCCCAAATTCCCAATAGAATGGATTCCCCGTTGTAATGGTTTTGATCCATCTTGTTGACAACGCCGTCTACTACTGCGGCTGCTTGACAGCGCTTGGACTGGTTGCACTATAGGAAACAATATCTAAATTCATCCGAAGACCAAGATTGACCCTCGGACTAAGATTACGTTTCATAAGAAGGCAATTTGTCTTTCTTTTCACATCACAGGGATGGGTGATCTGACATTGCGATGGCTCGCCTCGCAACTAGGCCCTGACTGGGAGAAAGTGGCGTCTTTCCTCGGCTTTACCGCATCCGAGATCAGAACCTTCAAGACGGACAATCCTTTGCAGACGGAGGAGCAAGCCTTCCAGGCGTTCGTCAAGTGGAGGCAGCGACAGCCTCTCGGAGAGGACCAGACCACCGCGGTATGCTCGGCGCTTCGGGAGGCTCGCAGAGTCGATCTCGCTGAGCAATTGCGAGGTATGTACCTGATGGTTCGAATTTCGTACACGGGTTTGAAGTAAATAAGGAACTTGTGGACGTAGAACATACGAGCTTGTGAATAAAAGAATAAGATCAGCGACGAAAAAAAAATGAAGAGTTTGAAATACAAATATGTAAATATTTCAAACCGATCACAGCCTAATCACTGTTAGAGTTGTGGTTGTTTTTGCGGTAGCGTTCCCGAAAGACACATCTTTAGAGTGTTAAGAACATGTTTCTGAACGAGCCGGGGGTAGGTCTCCAATGCACTTAAAATCCTCAGGGGGTGCACGGGTTTTTTATGTGTTGTGTTCTCCGTACCAGTCTTTTCACTCATTTTATGGTCCTGAAATCGCAAACCTTCCTCAGAAGTGCATGGCTTATTTTCCGTCCTGTAAAGTTTCAATTCTGACCTATTTTACTTTTAATGAATCTTTTCAGAGAGAACAAGACAGCAAGACCTTTGCTGCCGAGATCCGAGCGAAGCAGAAGGACCACGGTGTGAGACCCACCCTCGTGAGGTAATTCGGTTCTTCTGCGAAACATGCACCGTTTCGATCTGCCACCTATGTACAGTGATCGACCACTGCAAGTCCAAGCACGACATCGCGCACATTGGAGAGGCTGCTCGCATGTACAGACACGTCTTGAAAGAAATCATGCTCCCCGGACTTGGCATGGAAATCGAGGAGCTCGAGAGATCCTTGAAGGAGATATCTCGTGCCAAACGGATCTTCATCAAACACTTTGTCCAAACGAAAACGGAACTGATGGAGAGATTTCAGGAGGCGGAGGCTGAGGGCACCCTGGAAGGGAAACATATGGTTGACGCCATGAGAGATCTTAGAAGGCAGCGCGACTGGGAATTCGGGCAGCTTGAGGCGAGAGTGAGTAACCTGCTGAGGAGGAAACAGGAATCACGAGCAACCGCCTGGGAGATCTCAAAGAACGACCAGGAGGACCGCGATTTCCTGGCAGTCTATCACTGGATCCGGCAGAGGATAGAGCACCAGAGCAGCCAAAGGCCGCCTGAGGTTGACCCCGGTTTGTCGTGTCTGGAGAGGTTCCGGACGAGTAGCCCGGACTCCCGCTACCCTCGACCAGGCGAGCTGGACCTGGGTGGATCGTTGGAGCTGCACGGCGACTCTGGTAGGCAGGGCGTGCGCAATAGAGGCGAGGAGACCCTGGTGATGAACGGGGCTCGAGGGGTGGCGATTCTGGCATGTCGCGAGATCGCGGTGGCAGATCATTTCAACAGACGCGTGGTCATCTGCAACACCGAAGGTCAACCGCAGCGAGTTATTCCTGTACCCGGCAGTAAGTATTATGACCGTTGATCTTTATTATGTAGCCTTCCGTTCAGTGGTTCACAAACGCTCTCTTCTTGCTCAGCGATGCAGAAGCGCTGTTACTTTGACTGTTCCAGTTTTCAATTCGTATTTTTAACGTTCAATCTTCCCTCGGTAAATTATATTTTATGATTATGTTCTTTTGTTGATATGTTTTGCTAGACCCCTACGATGTTGCAGCTTCTCCTACGTCCAATCGCATTGTGGTTGTGGACAGCACTTCATACGTCCGCGTCTTCTCTAAAGACGACAAGTTACTGGCCGAGTTCCCAACAGTGCCGCGGGCCGAAGTTGACGACACGGAAGTGGACCTACGGAGCGTGGCGGTCTGGCCCGATGGTACCATCCTCGTGGGCGATATCAAGAGGAAGGTCTGGACTGAGCACTGCCCGACTGAGGGCGTCCTCCTGCGCACCGTGCCGGTCAAGACCAAGCCTTACTACATGTCAGTCAACAACGACAGGGTCGTGGTCAGCGGCCTCAAGCAGAGGGCGCGTGTTCTCGACACCAACGGGGACAAAGTGTTCACCATCAAGCCGACCGTCGACGGCGAAGCGGTGGAACAGCTGACCGGTGTTTGCTACGCCAGCTCGGGTATCTTCACGACGATGAACAACCGCGTGAAGGACACTGGACACATCCACCACTACGACGAGAGAGGAGCCTTCCTCGGCTGTCTGGACCAGGGACTAAGGCTTCCGCTTGGGATTGCGTGCACGGCACATGGGCGAGAGCTAGCCGTGGCCGATTGGGATGGTTCAGTCAGGATGTATAACTTTAATGCATATGCTTAATATGTGACTCCGCGTTCCTCGACGTGACGCGCAGTGGCGTATAGCCAGGGTTCTCAGTCACCATAGGTGCGAGTGGGGGTTGGATGTTAAAATAGGGTGGGGTCAATTTATGCTGAACCCGTTAACTACGGTATGGTCATTTATAACTGGGAGGGGCGACTAGGCCGAGTTGCGGATGATTGTTCTTATATTGGTGGTGCGCCCCCCCCCCCTCCCGAAAAGGCCGCTGATGATGCGCTGTGAAGATATTGACTGAGACGTCTGGGAATTGATTTATTGCAATAAACATATCTCAGTTGTTTACGTAATGACGTTAAGTATCAATTCGTTGATCATATTATCTAATCCCCACCTTGCTCCCATTCGCACCCTTCTGGCGTAAAAAAAACACCAAGGCCTATCCGGTAGGTCTTATACATGCACCACAACAGACAATAATTGTAATTTGTCACACACGAGCACAAAAAGGTCCACAAATCAAAATCACAAATTGAAACTCTATTTTACTATAAAATATACAATTTATCTTTAAAAAAAAAGCCGTGTACTTGATGACGTCACCATTGTGACTGATGAGACCCTGAGGCATCCACGAATCAAACAATCAATAACTTAATCTCATCTTGCAGAATGCCGAGTGTATCTTTTTTTAATTGGTGGATTTTTTTCAATGTGTACATTTGAACCTTGTTTGGCCCTTTGCCAACAGAGTTTAACGTTTTGGGCTGCCACAAACTATATTGAAGTGTGTAATAAGGAAGACCCATTCGAGAAGATGAATTGAAGTGGTCATGGCTTACATATTTTATTATCTCCGCTTCATTCGACATACATTAGTTTAACATTTGCTGTTTCTGAGGTGCTCTTCAAAAACAAACATCAAAATCCTAATGGTTTAAATGACTTTACTGTAAAATTCAATCTGTAGGCTATTGTATTTCTTTTATTGAAGCTGGTAGAGGGCGCTATTATAGTGTCAGGCTGCATTAATCTAGAACACGATAGGTACATACAACATGTATATAGGATCGGTCACAACTAAAGAATGGGCGCAATTTGCTGTTAATATTGAGTTCCACTTTTTATGATGAATAACATTAAAACAATTTTTGGAAATAGTAAAAGACAGCAGATCGATTTCAAACAGATTCCCGGGTATCGTTATTGGCAAGTTAAAGTCGCAATGTTTCTTTAAAATATGGCGGTAGGTAAACTCGAAGGTTGATTGAAACCGCAGATGGCGCCCTTTGGGATAGGTCTGCTTCGGTTTTACGGTTAAACGGATGCCGGTTCCGGGTCAACGGTTGCCGGCGGTGCCGGGTCAATGTGTAAGAATCGATTGGGCGAGCCTGGTCCCACGTCCGCGACCATACAGGCCAGCGCGTCACTCAGGATGCGATGGCGCACTTGGTCGGCCGGCACGCCGTTGCCCAGATGGATCGCCGCAATTCCTGCAACGTATTAAAAGAGCATTACGGCCTGAACTCCTCCAACATTTCATATTTCGGATCGTCAACTTATCCTATTTTAACGGCCAGGTTGAAAGGAAACTAACCCGAGTCTTTCCGTTCCCGAGAAAAGACGACCAAAACCCCGGTTGTTTACATCGGACGGGACAGACACTTTTATACATACACGATCATACACGATATACACCAATACACAAAATGTCATTGCCCAAACGTCCGCCAGGGCTCGGACGTTCGCAATCGTCAACCCGAGTACATTGTTCGTGGGTCACTCAAGAACGAGGTTTCAAATACGCCCCGAGTCTTAAAAGTTGAAACCATCGCCAATTGCGAGGTGGAAAATTGTTTTTCGAGTTATTCTGTTGTAAATTTTCCAGCTCGCGCATGCTGAGCCTCCACATTAATGATGGTCGGGGACAACATCTCAAAAGTCTGAGTTTCGACATATTCAAGGGTATTATGTAACCTTTCAAAGGTCTAAACGGACATTTTTTCTATATTAGTTTAATATTCTGGTAAGTTACATGTGTTAAAATTGGAGCAAATTACTGTGACAAGCATGTGACAGGCTCATTCTTAATGACAATGTGGCTACCATTAACATAACTCCCAAGCATGATTTACTAGGAACAACCCATCCTGGCAATTAATTCCAACACCATATGAGAAATTGCACGTACATATTTCTGACTGGTGTGCCAACCCAATGTAAAAGACTGTCAGTTTAGGGGTACTGTACCCATCATGACAGATTCCAACACAACATGCCGTTGGGGTTTGATGGGTTGAGTTCTGTTAAGGGTTAGGTTTTACAAAAAGACACACAGGGACAAACTTGCATTTACATGGCTGTTTGTAAAAATAAATTCAAGCAAACACTATAAAATGGCAAACAATTCCTACCTGCCACCAAGGGAACGGACATGGAGGTCCCGGATCGCCACTCGTAATCGCCATTAGCTGCCGTGGTCCGGACAAACTCGCCCGGCGCAAAGATGTCCACGCAGTCGCCCGAACGGGAGAAGGCCGACTTTTTGTCTTCCACCCATGATGTTGATGCGGCTGTAATGGCCTGGAAGAGAGGCATGTAATTATTCAGCAACGATTTTCGCTACATTGTTAAAAAATATAACATATTTCATAACACAAAAATCAATTATTTTGGGCAAAGTGGTGCCTATGTACATCTTGTTTAGACAATACACCGTGCGAAAAGTTTAGATATGGGATGAAGGCCGCCTAGTGCCATCGAGTAAAACTTGTTTAAAACAAACAAGAGTTCGTCTGAGTAGATATAATCTTCAGGTTGTTCTTACTGATGATGTTTTCGAATTAGGAAAGTTTTTTCGTTATTTTATGGCAGGCCTTATCGTTTGTGCCCGGTGGTACCAATGGGCTACCATACTATGCAAGATCTCAAAATGTCAAAGACTAAAAATGTGAAAGATTCTGCGCTGCGAATCTCAATGATTCTGAAAACCTTTTAATAATTGTACTCGTTAGTCTTGAAGTCGTGGTGTTGACAATAGAGGTGTTGTTGGTGGGAAAGGCTGGGCTTGGTGGGTGCTAAAGATGTTGATGGCGATGGTGTTTTGATGGTGGTGGATGGTAGTATGAGTATGGAGCTGTTAATAGGGATTCATATCTATTGATGGTAAACCTAAGTAGACCTTTGTGTCGTAAACTCGTAGTACCGGTACTGATACGGTAATAGTTGTGGTAAAAGTGGTGGTGAAGCCGGAAACGTTTCACTCTAAAAACTGTATTTAGCAATTTTACACACAATATTTATATCACTTTTTAAACATGTTTAGAAGCTAAACATTATACGTTTCCAATTCCTAAACATCAGTGTTCAATTATATTGCTAAACACTATCCAGCGTTATACTGTAAACATGTTCAGTATTTAAACATGTTTACAAACTGATAGCAAGAAAGTGATTAGAAAAGTGTTTAATTGATTAACACAGTTTTTGTAGTGTTGGTGATGATGGGCGGTGTGTAGTGTGTGGTGGTTGTGGTAGTAGTATTGGTGGTGGTTGGGGTTCCCTGATGGTGGCGCTACGTGGTAGACAGGTTGGCATGGTGGCAGTCAGCTGACGTGCATGCATGGTGCAAGCAATGGTTGCCCTGGACCCACGTACATAAGGTGACTTGGCCGGAGAGCGGGTGCAAGCGTCAACGTCGGTTTGTGATCCTTTCAAATTAGTGGCGGCGGCCACAGGAACGCAGCCGGCCTCTGCCAGGCGTTGAACGGCCTCACATATGGTCGGAGACGAGGTTTTCCTTGAGAAGGACATTGTGGCAACACATGGGGGTACCGCATGCTCAGCCACCCAGTCAATAGCTGTGTATTTAAAACAAAGGTAGAAACGTGATGAAAAGCTATTAAAGAAAAAAAAGGCAAATTTCGAAGACTGTTAGAAATAAATAAAAAGGCAAATTGAGAAGAGTGATATCAGTGAAAAGTACTAGTGCCAGTCAAACATTTTTTGAAGAGCTGTAGATTCAACGGGATACCACAGTCTAAACCAAAAATGGTTCAAATCTGCTACGCATGCAGCCATATGCGGTCCATGTTGTCTCCGAGTTTCTGTCGATCTTCTGCAGTGGGTAAGTACAGTTATGCATGAACAGTGGCCTACTCCACTCATAAATATCACACGACATTTTAATGTGTTGTACCTGCCGCCATGTGGCTCGTTCCAGCCCCGCATCTGCAATCCAGCGTCCGCACGGAGAGGATGTTAGCCTTCTTGGCGACTCCCCAGGTTTTACTGGCGGCTGCTCCAGCCACAGCTGTGCCGTGTTTGCAACAGTCACTCCCCTGGAGAAGAAAGTATTGTTTAAATATCAGCATAAAGAATAAGGGAAAATTGAACTGAGCCCAATTTCATTGCTGTGGCGAAAACGGAGTTGACCTAAGTAGCATTGGAACCATTGGAACCGGAAGCTAACGCAACTTGAGTGTTTATCCAATAGGCGCTAGTAACCAGTGGTGCGCGCGCGTGTATGACGTTTTTACTAACGAACCGGATACCCAGCGTGTCCCATAGCACCCAGTCAAAAATGCCCTCACCGTCTGGTTGAAAATATCGTGGACTTTGACCGCTCGTCCTTCAAAGTCTACGTGGTCGGGGTTGATACCGCTGTCGATGACATAAATGTTGACCCCTGCCCCGTCACCTGTTAAGAGGAGAACCAATTAGTTCAGGCCAATTAATTGAATATTGTGGAATCTGGTGACCAGTATCTTACTGCGGTAGTGCCACGCTCACGCGCATGCTGCACACGTATACAGGTTCACGCGCATTTTGGTATTGCTATTCGCCGAAGGAGGCCGTAGTGCGCGAGCTGATCGCGACTCGCTCGAGCCTGGGGTGCCACCGAAGAAAATGGCTGCCGCCGGATTTGGCTATAGTGTGCATGCATCTGTTAACCTGAGATTGAAAGATCCTGACTTGGAGGATTCCGATTCAATTTAAAGTCCTTGTGCTACAAAATAAATCGAGGAATTGTACAGCATGAGTCCAACCTGTACAAAAGTTATTTAAGTTGGAGACATTGGGAAATTAAAATCTTTCAAAACGTTCTTGGAATAAGATATGAAGGCGTTTGAAGAGGGGCGGGGGTTGATCTCGGAATCCATGGAATACTGAACAACCGCATTCCTCACGTCTCATGGCACACAATTAGAATGTACATATACATAATGACGCCGAGAGACCATTATGTACAAGGGGCGCGGCCATGGGAGTCCAAATTTCACGTGTGAAGGAACACGGTGACTTTAGCTTGTGATATGGATTAGTTTTATAATTACTTCTGATGAGTTGTGGTGACTTAATCACGATCACAACTCTTCCATATATTGATTACCTGCGATTACTTTCGACGATTTGAATTACAAATCTGCAGTACATTATTATAACCACTTTAGATCTCTTACCGGGAAATGATAGATCTTTATCGAGTTCAGCCGTGACTTGGTTGATGCGGTCCAGTGCCCAGGTCGTGGATGGCATACCGCGTTCCGCAGACATTTCGATATGGTCGAAGTCATTGTAGACGTCCTGCTCTACGTAGGCCACAAACGGACAAGCTAGTACCTTGAAAAACAAAAAAAGGGGTAACTTGAATGTTGCCAACTGGTAGGCATTTTTTTTCATACAAACGATTGGGGGTCTCTCCTACCGGAGCTCTCGTCAGTGGTGACGATCGATATCTTGTGTATATGCACGGAGTACATTGCCAGCCCTAGCTACAGCCCCGAAAGCAACACGCGTCCCAGCATAATTATGTCAACGAAATTGCTTACCATTTTCAGCATCTGCTTGTCCATCTTCATGATGATCATGCTCGGGGTAGCCAGCAGGTTGGACACGATGACATACTTGCCGTATAAACCCCCGCTCTGCGTCTTCAATTCCTCGCTGATTTCCTTGAGTCGCTGATAAAAATTACTCATGAGTATGCTGGACTGAAGAGAAAGGGGAGAAAAGCTTAATTCTTTAACCCTTACACTCCTCAATCCTCCATTTTTTTTTTAACAAGTACATGAACGTTTAAAAAACGGGTAATCCGCGACCAGCCCTTAGCCTGTTTTAAACGTATTTTTGTTAATACCGGCCAAGCACATATTTAATCCCATTCATTAATATACATGTACTACGTTTCGTCAAAAAGTCAAAACAAGTGGGAAATTCACAGATTTCCTACTATTTTGCTCAACAGGTTTGCTTCGGGTTTTGTGAAACGCCCCTCCGGCCATGTTTATGGTATACATGAGCTTCGCGCGTGTAGTACTAACAATATAATTTAGAAATATTTACCTTGCTTAGAAATTGGCGTGCGAGTCGCGTACTGCGCCATGCGCATGCGCAGCGCAGAACTCAGCCAAGGGCGGATCCAGAACACAATTTTTGGGGGCCCAAAAAAAATTGGCCCCCAAAAAAGTGGGTTAAAAAAATTACGGCGTGGGGTTCGGGGCCCGCTTGAGGGCCCCGAAAATTTTTTGGATTCTAGATGCTCTGTGGTGCGATCTGAGGCAATTTCTGACCACTTTAACCAATGTTTTTTTGAGGAAAAGATGGTGGTGTACTCATTGCCTGCCTTTATTGCGATGTCACATAAAAAAAAATTAAAAAATGGTTTCGTTTTGGGGGGGGGGGGGGGCATGGCCCCCTTTGCCCCCCCCCCCGGATCCGCCCTTGAACTCAGCTGTGGTTTATCGGCGGTTTAAATCACTCACGGGCCGGGCTCTCGACCAATGGGATTGGGTAAACTGTCTCAGCTATGATTTTCATCACACACCTTTAATAAAGGGTATACTTGGTTTTGCCCTTAGCCTACACAGACTCAATGTGTATGCACTGTTCATACTCACAGTGCTGTCCAAAATGGGCTGTTCGAAAGATCGCCCATTGCAGTCGTTCGGAACGACTAAAGATAGGAGTCAAGTCAATGAAAACAATTCATACATAAATTCTGCCCGTCTGAAACCACAATTACTACGAGTCGATCCCAGTAGCAATAAACACTATTTTAGTTGTCTTTACTCTGGGACGCAGTCTGGAACGAGTTTTAGACATTAACCACACTACGACTACTAAACTAAAATTACGACTTCTTAAGGAGAAATTTACCCTGACTTTGACGATGTACTGGTCTTTGAAATCAAAAACTCCATCTTCATCAATCAAGGTAGCCGCGTGCGCGCACACGGCGCCTACAGCCAACAGCAAGACGAGTGCAACCTTCATGTTTGTCGACGACTGCAACACAATAGAATACATGTATTAGTGATGGGCGAGGTAGAATCAGAGGGAATACGAGAATTGAAGGGCGAAAAGAAAGACGTGGGAATGGCAAACCACAGAGAAACTACAATATTGTTCGCGTCGTCCAAGTTGCTTTAGTGTTTGCATAAAGTATGACCTGCGTAGGTCCTGGGTGGGAGGGATTAGAGCCTCCGACTATTTCAAGGAGTCCCTACGTAGTAAGCACAGAAAAGAGCAAACTGGTTCAGAGGCCAAAATAAATTACTGGAAATAGTTTTACGAAATTGATTTCCAAACGTCTGCAAGTCATTATAAGTCCACAAAATGATAAAGGCTTGGCAGGAGAAAAACAAACCCAGCGATATTCGAAGGAAAAAAAATGTACAAGTAGAGGGCAAATTCTGCCTTGGCACAACATTAGGGTTAATCTGCTAAATCTTTAAAATTCAAAACCGAAACCTTACAGGTTTGCTCGGGCGGGAAAACCTTGAAGTAGTACGCACTAAATGGTGAAATATTGGTGTCTTTTAAGAAAGAAATATTACCTTCTGTTGCGAAAGTCTTCCGAAATCGACGTATGTTCCGCGTGTGTCCGCAGTCGTCTGGTTTGGCACTGACAAGTGTACGTTAATTTCTCGTCATAAGGCTACGTCACAGAGCAGCCCAGTTTTTTGGGTCGCTTTAAATAGCTATCAGAAGCGACTCCTTGACAGACCGATAACAAACAGTTATGCACGAGTCACATAAATAAGCTTTTTTCCCCTTCAAAAGTGCCTCATTGATAAGTATAATACTCGTTGCAAGCAGCTCATGTTGACATGTGATTGGCAGCTCTCAAAGAATATTATCGCGACTAAGTCGTTTTTCTTCTTTTATGTCACAAGTCCATCTGTTGAGAAAGGCATTTTCACATCATATCTTAAACTTTTGTTGTCACAAAATTGTAAGCTGTAGCTGATACCATTTTCAAACATGTTTTTCTTTTGTTGTTTTTATGTCCTCTTAATAATAAGGCCCCAACCTAAACATGTAAATTCTGCAACCACGGTGATTTTAAATTTTAATTTATAAAGAAATTCCCCGCCCCTGAAATAAAAAGAATGTAATGGAGTTTCATATATAGCGGCTCAACCAGAACTTGCTATAATGAATGTACTGGTTTCAACATTTCAAAAATAACAATAACAGTTTCCATTGACTTGAACCAATATGTTACTTTTAAAACCCTGCCAAATGGCGTATCCAGGTTTTGGATGCTAGGGAAGGGGTGATGGCTGGAGTGCCTTCTTAAAAAGTTGTTCATTTTTTTGCGTACGTAAAACAAAAAGGCTATAGGCCTACGGTTGGTAATTTTAGTGCAGGTTGTGCAGTTTCGGCGCTTATGTGTAATATTTGAGATTAACTGCAATATCAATCAACACAATGCGTTTAGTTCAGTCTTTTATTTAAGAATTAGTTAAATAGGCCAGTCACAGTTATGATAAACTGTACGCAAACTGTAACAATTCAATCTTTCCACAAAGGGGAATATTTTTTTTACGCCAGTTGATAAGACTAAAAATAGACCGCGACCTATTAAACTGCAACATGCCTGTCAAATTTCCCAAATTATTGGCAGCCGGTCATTATAGAATGAGTTCATGAGCCTGATTACGGTCTCTTACAATACTTCTCACCAACGACTGTTTCGTGACTGTTTGGCCCAGTTTAGAACAAGGACACCACTGTTAATATATTATTGATATACATGTAGTTTATGCATGAAAGTATAAGAATAATCCTACACTGCAATAAACGTACAAACAAGAAGACAAATAAACACTGAACCTACCCCCCCAAAAAAAAATGTATAAATACATGTAATAATAATAAATAAATGAAGAATGAAGAGTTTGCAGTAGCACCTTGTGAATAATATCTCTTTTGAGTTGTGTGGTTTTAAGAACATCAGCTGAGATGGACATCAAGGGCTGCATAGTGCCAATGGTATAAGGGGACCCGTAGTTGTAGGTATAACTATCATTAGGGGGACTCAATAATTATTGGGATTGGATGGGGTCAGTTTATGCATGCCTTGATGTTCATCCCAGATGTACCTACATGTACATCCTTCTGACATGCTTCAGTGATTACACACAGTTCACTTCAGCATCCTACCCAGCAACTTAGCATCCTGTTCATGGTACTGAACATGGTGACAATAGGGCCTAGACGTAGCCGTATGTAGCTTTGGGCACGGCCCATTATAGTCAGGTGGCATATGGTCGGAATCGTGACCGACTGGTCCAAAGCACCAAACTTGGCAGATAGATTCTTATAGCCCTAGAGAAGATATTTAGAAGGGGTGACACCTGAAATTCTTTTGGGAAGGGTGCCTAATTTGCATAAATCGTTAATCCCTGCCGTGTAATATATTTATTCCCATATTTGGGTATATTTTTTATTTTTTTGAAAAGCGTATTTTGGTGATTCTACTTGCATATTCTTACTTCAATAACATTTTGTAAAACATATAAGTGACTGAATAATTAGGACATAGTAAAGAACCAAAATTGCTACTATTTTACCCTAAAGTTACGCGCATTTACCTATTTCTCAGATATCATCAACTAGTCTCGCCAAACGTGGGTACTGATGAGCTTCAAATTCACAAAGTTACTTACTGGCATAGTTACCCTAACAAAAATAAGTGGGAAATCAAGTGAAAATTGATAACATCTTGATGTTTAGCCCAAAAGACCAAAAAAGGGGAGAAAATGTGGTGTCCGTAAATTGGGCTAGTACGGGGAGGGTAACGTGGGGACTTGAACAAGTTCAACGAAATCCCCCTAAATAAGAGATTATTGTTGTTTACAATAATTTTGTCTACGCCAAAACGTTTTCTCAACAATAATTTTGGGAATTTCCTTGAACTTGTTCCAGTGTTCCATGTTAGGCAACCCTTCACCTACTTGTTAGCCTAATTTATGGACACCTCATTTTTCCCCAGTTTTTGTTTTCTGGGCTAAATATCACAATGTTATCATTGTTCACATGATTTTGCATAAGGTTTTAATAGGGTAACTGTACCAGTAAGCTACTTGGTGAATTTGAAGTTCATCAATGCTGATGTTTGGCAAGACTTATTGATGATATCTGGAGACAAGGTAAATGCGCGCAATTTTAGGGCATAATAGTAGCCATTTTGGATCGTTACTATGTCCTCATAATTATTCTGTCACTAACTTATATGCTTTGGAAAATGTTATTTAAGTAAAGATATGTAAGTAGAATCCCAAAATACACTTTTCAAAAAAAAAAAAAATAGAAATATACCCAAATATGGGAATAAATATATTACACGACAGGGATTAACGATTTATGCAAATTAGGCACCCTTTCCAAAATAATTTCAGGTGTCACCCCTTCTAAATATCTTCTCTAGGTCTATAAGAATAAATCTGCCAAGTTTGGTGCTTTGGACCAGTCGGTCACGATCTTGACGAAAATTAGATCTAAGCTACCTGACTATTACGGACAGGGCCCCAAACCGTCGAGCATTTACCCTGCTCATCCCCCTGAACATCATCATCTTTAGTTCTTACCACCAAAAGGCATTTCCCCCCAAAAATGTCGTTATCTCAAATGTTATACGGGCCGGCCGGCCGGTCCCGTTGGCTCGGTGGTCGGGCGGTGGGACGTCTGCACTGGAGGGTGGGAGGTCGTGGGTTTGAGTCCCACCCGGGTGATTTTTTTGTCCAGCTTTCACTCGGGAGGTGACACACTGAGTGTACAGTGTTTGTACGTCGATGAGGGGCAAAACCTAGCTTGAAATGTTATACCAGTTGTCAGGTTAAACCTTATGATTTTATTTGTTGGTTTAAATAATGGCAGCAGAAAAGAAAATAGATACTATCACAACAGTCACTCTTTATTCATGGTAAGAAAATCTCTTGTAATATATACAGTCTGTGACTCAAAACCTAGGCATTCATTCACAATCCTCATAAAAAAATTGTTGCAAAATATAGTTTCAATTACACTAAAGGCAAATTGTTCATGTCATGTACAAACCCTGCAAAATATACATTATATACACGTAGCTCCTATTGGGAAAGTGGATCGAAGATTTTGGAAATTCTGGAATGACAATTACATTTTGAGGAATGTGAGGGAATTTATAAATATTCATTTCTTATAGTGCGTGTTGTTTCAACATTTTTATAATAAATATACCACGTCTTTTAGTTCTATATTTCCCAGATTTAGATTTATATTTTCCATAAAATGCCCCATCACAAGTCAATCGCAAGTCATCCAGTCCCAAATCACATATTAATAATAAACAAGCAATTCAAATGAACTCTAACAGAGAAATTTTTACTGTTCATGCCCTTTTATTTGGGACCGGATTTGTGGATTGACATGTGATTACCTTGTAAACAGACTTGTGACGGAATCTGCCACAATACGGAGCTTATTTTTGGAGAAGTAGGCTTACCCAATTCGCGTCAGAGGACACGATAACACGCACTGGCTGTTTTTATACATAGGCAAGGCTTCCGGGTTAAAACGTCAAGATTGCCTCGACTCGCCTCCGGGTGACGTTCAAACATGCTAACCCCTCTTGCTTTTTGTACAGTCAGTGAAGTCTGAGGAGGCAGACCGTGTGTTGATCTTGAAGAGGCCGCTGTGCACGGCATTTTGCATAATTTACGCTCCAGTGCACACCTCGGAGTACTGAACCATCGGCAAGAAATATCATGCAAATACTGTTGAAATGACTCTTGCAAAACTGTGTTTGTGGCGTTTGGCTGTATATCAGAATGACTGTTACATATTTCTGGAAACTTTGTTGGTAACAAAGTTGTCCGACATGATCAACCAATCAAGCTGTGGATTGTATATGGCTTTGAAGAATTGAAAGTCTTTCCAAATGAAATCCTGCAAATGCTTTCATATTTTGTTTTTATAGCACAGTGACAACTAGACTGCATCAGACACGCACTTAATAGCAGATGAAGCAAAAGGTCAAAACTACCTTTTGTGTAGTAACATGTGGGGCAGCCAGGGTACAGGATTGAATTGAAATCTTCCAAAGCTTGAAAAAGTATTGTCATTTAAACACCCTGCTGAAAATCTTAGTACATACATAACTTGTTTACGATAAAAACAGAAATGTACAAAATACCATTTGATAACAAATTACAGTACAAAACCCAAAATATCAAACTCCCTACACCTTGCGATTATTTTGAAATAAAAAAAAACACTGTGGCAGGTTTTTACTGGATGGGCAGTGAAAATAAATTACCCCAAATTTCAGGTGTTTGTCAGCCATGAAAACAGGTTTCACTCCACTACTTTTTGTTGTTCATTTCAGAATCAACATTTTGGAACCAAATATTGGACCCTTCATCGTTATTCCTAACTGGAATTGAGGGGAGGAGATGGTTTTTTCTTCTTCTGTATCTACCTTTAGGTTTAAACACCCCGTTCACCCCTCCCCAAAACGAACCCCAAAACAAAATGTACAGTTTGACTCCTAACTTCTCTTAAAATATGACCATTTCAAAGCAAGAGAATGCATAGATTTCAAACTTATCAAGAGAAGCATTCTTCCCAACCACCCTTGCAGGGGCAGGGGCATACCTCTGGTGCCAGTGTTGTAGTACTAGCACTTGGTAGTTGCACTCAAGTTCCAAATATTTTATCATTCTCATACATGTACTTGTACTCATACTTGCACTCATACTCAGAGGTCCAAGTACTGAGATTGGTTTCGCAATCCTTGTATTTGGAGGTATAAGTACTTGTACTCGGACACCTGTACCCATCCTCGATGGTCAAACTACTGGGACTCGAGTGGTACTTGACACCTCGGTACTCAACAGTACATGGCACTCGTTGCTCGACTATAAGACTCACAGCTACCCTCTTCCCAAACCCCCAAACCAAGCTCCATCTCATTCTTCCATTCTTCCCCCATCAAATAGTCTTGGTCATGCATACGGAATCCCCTTAGCACTCTCGCACTCTGATCTGGTTGTTACTGTCCAGCTCCAGTCTGGTAGAGGGCGCTCTTCGCCCGCTGCCCTGTGGCGGGCTCGTCGCAGATGTGGATCGGCCCGAGAGCGGAGTGGCATTAGAGCTGACAGTGCAAAAAAAAACAGTCAAGGGACAATACTTAGGGGGAAAGTTTAAAATGACTAAGTGTAGCGCATGCAACATCACATCTAGGATTCCATGTCAAACTCACTTGACGTTTGCTTTCACATGTAGTATGGACTGACTGTTCAACGGGCAGACCTAGACCTAAATGCACTGTACATTAAAAAACAACCCAAAAAACAATAAACAAAACAAAACAAAACAAGGTAATATTATACAAATATAGTAAATAGTACAGAAATGCGCATACTTGTGAAGATAAAACTGTCTATCTACAGCTACCGGTAAGAGAAGTCTAATATTGAAAGAAAATTTATGAGTACACTAACAAAGTCTGATCCAATGCAACTTGGCGTGCTGAATAACAGGTGAAGAGTATTCATCAATTACATACAAATTGGCACATATCTCGTAGATGGTTGGAACAGAGCTGTAATGAAATCCTCATAGATAAATCTGGAGTCCTTTCAGCCTCTAGTCAAATCCCAATCTATTCAAGTGGACTGTGGTCAAAAGCCATTCATTGTCATCCCCTATTGGACATAACTTACGAGTGAAATGTGATTTGACTCATGATAAGGCTTTGATTGAACCCTTTAGTCACTGAGGCGCCCAAAACCGCCCTGCCGATTACTCACTGTAACGCCTGAAACCTCAGCCTGAAACCTCCGTTTTCTTGATTTATTCAGTGAATAAACACAATGTAATATAAAGTAGTGCAGGTGCCATCAGGTTAACTTGCAATTTGAATTTCGATTGGACTTGTGATGGACTGGCGTCAATAGACGTCTGAAGTGGAAATGCATCAAACGACAAAGTGGATGTCCACTGTTTAAACCAAACCGAACCGAACCGAACCGAACCGAACCGAACCGAACCGAACCGAACCGAACCGAACCGAACCGAACCGAACCGAACCGAACCGAACCGAACCGAACCGAACCGAACCGAACCGAACCGAACCGAACCGAACCGAACCGAACCGAACCGAACCGAACCGAACCGAACCGAACCGAACCGAACCGAACCGAACCGAACCGAACCGAACCGAACCGAACCGAACCGAACCGAACCGAACCGAACCGAACCGAACCGAACCGAACCGAACCGAACCGAACCGAACCGAACCGAACCGAACCGAACCGAACCGAACCGAACCGAACCGAACCGAACCGAACCGAACCGAACCGAACCGAACCGAACCGAACCGAACCGAACCGAACCGAACCGAACCGAACCGAACCGAACCGAACCGAACCGAACCGAACCGAACCGAACCGAACCGAACCGAACCGAACCGAACCGAACCGAACCGAACCGAACCGAACCGAACCGAACCGAACCGAACCGAACCGAACCGAACCGAACCGAACCGAACCGAACCGAACCGAACCGAACCGAACCGAACCGAACCGAACCGAACCGAACCGAACCGAACCGAACCGAACCGAACCGAACCGAACCGAACCGAACCGAACCGAACCGAACCGAACCGAACCGAACCGAACCGAACCGAACCGAACCGAACCGAACCGAACCGAACCGAACCGAACCGAACCGAACCGAACCGAACCGAACCGAACCGAACCGAACCGAACCGAACCGAACCGAACCGAACCGAACCGAACCGAACCGAACCGAACCGAACCGAACCGAACCGAACCGAACCGAACCGAACCGAACCGAACCGAACCGAACCGAACCGAACCGAACCGAACCGAACCGAACCGAACCGAACCGAACCGAACCGAACCGAACCGAACCGAACCGAACCGAACCGAACCGAACCGAACCGAACCGAACCGAACCGAACCGAACCGAACCGAACCGAACCGAACCGAACCGAACCGAACCGAACCGAACCGAACCGAACCGAACCGAACCGAACCGAACCGAACCGAACCGAACCGAACCGAACCGAACCGAACCGAACCGAACCGAACCGAACCGAACCGAACCGAACCGAACCGAACCGAACCGAACCGAACCGAACCGAACCGAACCGAACCGAACCGAACCGAACCGAACCGAACCGAACCGAACCGAACCGAACCGAACCGAACCGAACCGAACCGAACCGAACCGAACCGAACCGAACCGAACCGAACCGAACCGAACCGAACCGAACCGAACCGAACCGAACCGAACCGAACCGAACCGAACCGAACCGAACCGAACCGAACCGAACCGAACCGAACCGAACCGAACCGAACCGAACCGAACCGAACCGAACCGAACCGAACCGAACCGAACCGAACCGAACCGAACCGAACCGAACCGAACCGAACCGAACCGAACCGAACCGAACCGAACCGAACCGAACCGAACCGAACCGAACCGAACCGAACCGAACCGAACCGAACCGAACCGAACCGAACCGAACCGAACCGAACCGAACCGAACCGAACCGAACCGAACCGAACCGA